CCAACCTTTCACCAATATAATGAAACAAGTCACAGGAACACACACCCAGTTATAAAATACTCTATATACATATTTTACCTTGTCTCAACTCCACTTGGTTATTAATTTTAAAAGGTCACAATACTTAAAACCACGTGAGTTAAGTTTCTTATGTTGTTCATGAATCATCTTAGTCTACAACTACATTATATAACACTACTTAGTTTACACACACACACAGAGATGATATTTGCAAAAATGAACAAAGATTTTCTGGTGGTATCTAGGTTTTGAAAATTGGTCTGTTTAGTGCTAATTCTGTCTCCCCAGGAAGCCAGTGGTAGAGAAAGTCACTATAAAAATGTCTGTTGACTTCAATTAAGTAACTTGTATCAAGACGGAGAACCTTCCCCAACTGATATTCAACAAATTATATCAACTTGTTTTTTTAATTAAAAAAAAGAAAGGGGGGGGGGGGGGGGGGTGGAAGTGTTCACTAGTTGAAAAAAAAAAAAGGGGGGGGGGGGGATGTGTGGAAGCTGTGCACAGGTGCTTTATATATATATACACACACACACACCCCCACCCCTGCCTGGTCAAGCCTATGAAACTGGCGAGCACTGAAATGACTTTTGAAAATTGGGTGCCAGTTTCACCAATGTATTACTCCAGTTTTACACAATGGTTAATCTCCTGAGAGCAACTAGAGTAGTGCAGTGGCAAATCAGCACCTCAGCCCACAAAGGCTTGTCATCAGTTGATCTATGAAGAGCTTACATTTACTGCTTCGAGTAAACATACAGACCTGTACAACAACAGCGTGTCATTTGGTACATGCATTTAATTTGGATTACAGACTGGAACAGAATTATAGTCTGTCTATTTAGGTAGATAAACATTAATCTCTCGGACAAAATCTTGCAGTCATGATCCAGCCTCTTCTCATGTTGGAACCTCCTGCTTCATTTGGTGGATCTGCTTCTGTAGTTCATCTCTGTCCAGCTTCATTTTTGCTTCTAGAACTTGCCGTAGAGACCCAATGCTCTCATAGATAGCTGCAAATCCTAATTGCAGGTGAGAATTAAATTAGTTCATAATTAAAAGCAAGACTATCGCATAATTACTATCCGAATACTGTTCCTACCATAACATTCTGCTTTATGCTAGGAAGGTAGCAAAAGTTCTGAAGAAAAACAGGGCTGTAATTGTGTGCTGATGGCAAAAATGCCCCCAGTCACAGCCAAGCTATGCCTATGTATGCTCTGGGGAGAGCACTTCTAAGCTGTCACTTCTAAGATGTCACCTCTTGTTGCTGTGAATTTCACACTTAGTGAAAAACCTTTTCAATGCCACAGGTGCAGCCATTACATCTGGCTCAAAGGTCTTTAAACTACTTCGATACAAGCAAAGGCATTTTGCATATTATTATAGGTCAGTCATTGTTACCACAATGCAGAATAAAGAACTTGATAACCATGGTCCTACCAGCATTAACTTCAGCTTTCATTTCTTTTATATCTTCATTTATCTCATTTTGAAGTTTGCCAATGCGAATATTTATCTTTTCTTCAGTCTGTTTTGCTTCATGTGCTTCCATGGTTACCTTCTGTATTTCTTCTATTTTGTCAATTTTCTCTGCCATTTGGTTGAATTTCACCTCAATAGCTCTTTCACTCATTTCCTGGAGCCAGGAGAAAGAATTTTAATGATTTACTCTGCATATGAAATTACAGTGGTCTTTCCCAAATAGACAATTGATATTGATTAATCATCTTTTACAGGGAATGCAAAGATATAAGGAATTGTAATTTTTTTATTAAGTGGTTTAAACTGACTTGATTACTGTAGGGTAAAATACCGATCTACTTAGAAGTGATTAGATTTATGTGAAGACTCAGGTTTTGGGGATGTTATATATGACATCAATGAGAAGAGTTATACAGATATTGAGGAGGTCTGAAAATCTCACTCAAATAGTATCTCAATTACATCATCTTAGTTATTAATAATGCTTTTGCGTGCTTCCCGAGAAGTATTACTAGGACATTTTAATGAAACTTACAGTGTTTTCCTTAAAAGTCAGTGAGAGTTGGTCAATTTTTTGCACAAGCTCTTTTTCAATCCTTTCATGTTCCTGTTCCAGCCAGCTACGTGCAGACAAAATCTGGCTGCTGAGTTCCTCAACAGCATTTTTTAATCTAAGAGCATAATAGAAATTAGCAGATACAAAAGAGCAGAACTTTTGGTCATTCAGCGGTGACTTTTTTAGGATCATGTTCATTAAAAAAAAAAAAAAAGGACAATTTAATACATTCTTGACACTATATTAAAGTGAATCTTTGAACTTTAAGGCTACTAAACCGGTTAAGGTAACATTGTTTTAGAAAATAAAGGTGAAAGAGTAGAATAAAATAGCAGTTACTTACACGAAACATCACAACATTCTGAGGCATAGTAGATGCAAATTCATTGTAGTATTGGAAACAGAATGTGGTCATCCATTCAGATTATAATTTTTGTGTCCATAGGTCTTAAATCTGAACAAAGATTTGGTACCAGTTTATTTTAGTGCCAATGCCAGTTTATATAGCCTCACGTTGCCTATACCCACCTCAAGTTTACACCAACCAGTTGTGCCAGTGGAAGATGTTTCTTTAGACAGTCTTTTTTTCCAGTGAATAGTTGAAATATGGATCTGTTCTTTCATCTGGTTTGCAAGTAATTTTACTGACATAACTGATGGGATTGCATGAGGATGGCAATAAGCAGTAAGGATGCGGATGACTTAAACCAGGACTGACACCGAGTGAAATGCCTGGAGAGGAGTTAATATTGGAATTTAATATATAATGTCTAGGGGTAGCACAGTAGCTTATCATGAATAATGTAGGTATTTGCGTCATATATTTGTATTTGAAACCAATTTAAAGCAATAACACTTTGTGAATGCTGTGCCTCGCTTCTGGTTGCTTGAGTGGAACTTTTTGCCCTACTCGCGACAGCCACCTTCAGCATTCGTTGCTTCCTACAGTTCTTGCAACAAGGTACCAGGCCACTCTTACAGAAATCCTTAGTAGTGTTCTTTAATACAAGTTCTGCCTGAACACGTGACGAGGGCTTTTCGGAATTGCCTAAGCATCTTAGGGGCAGAACAGTTGTTGTAAGTGAGTCCCACTTGACAGATCATTATGCTTTTGTAATATCTGTTGAGCACACATCCGTATTTAAACAGCTTCATGCCCTGGACCTGAGGATTACAACAGTCAAACTTGGAAAACTGAGGCCTTGTCTTCCAAGGCGCATGGCAGCAACAAAGTTTCTCGGGCACTCACTTCGTATCCAGAAGGTGGAGCTGTTGGTTGCTCTCTTTGTAGGCAATCTTCAGCTTTGCTTCTTGTTGCATTATTGATTGCTCTACTCTGCTGAGAAGATGAGAAATCTGAAACAAAATCCAGAATTTACCATGTTCAACAACATTTCATCACAGTCTCATTTGGCATGTTTTCATAACAGTAGAGGAGATCTTAAAGAAGGGCTGGTTTTGCTGACATTTCAAAGAGTATTGAATTTGCATATTTACTTTATAATGAAAAATATACTATCTTGCAAGATAAAAGTATCAACAAGCTGAAAACTGTAATTTTTCAGCCATAAATAGTTTTAACAGTCTTCCATTGAAAGCTTTTGCTTGCTCCCCCCTCCTTAAGACAGATGAATTTACATGATCTATACATCTCCATTTTGTCACGTAAGCAGATTAAACAAATAGCAAAGCACCCCACCAAAACTGAAGGATACTCTTCATCACCTCATGTATAATGGCTATTGCAGTGACAAAAGTGCTGGATTTAACTGGGGATGGTCATTACCAACAGAAAATATTTCTCACCAAAACAGTCATCCCAGTTCTACAAAACATACTGTTCTGCTTTACAAAACTCATGACAATATGCTCCTAGCATGCTGGCACACTAATATACTATACTGAGTCTTCTGGGAAAGGTAAAGTGGATTTTAACCATTTACCTACCACGAAATGGAGATGTAAAATACTTTTGTTGCCCAAGAAATGGGAAGGCCTTGAGATGGAGATATGAAGAATCCTTTTCCTTAAATGTCGTAAGTCTCTGCTTGTATCTAGTGCTCACTTCCATTCTTGTACCCAATGGAAGAGAAACCTGACGGATAGATTAATGGATTCACAGAACCCAAAACCAGTTTTGTTTTGCAGACCTTCAAAAACTGTGTTCAAATACATATAAAATCATCCTGGGAAGGCCAAAATCTACAGGGAGAGACAGTGATGCTTGCATTGTTGTGGTAGTTTTGTAGAGCATCCATGTCTTGTTCACATTCCAACCTCAGGAAGCCATTCAGGCCACGAATCACTGACTTCTGTTCATTCCTGGAGTCCTTTCAGGTGCCTTTAAATACTAGCCACTTCTATACAGCATGTTAAAGGCAGCAAATTAAGGACCTTTTTTCAGGTAGACCAGTACAGTAATGCAGCTAGGTACAAATATTCAATCCAATAAGGACTGTGAGCGGATTCACCTCTCCATTTGTAAATCTGTGGCCTCTCACACTAATAACAGTAATGGAGTCTGTGTGAATTAGACTATTGACTCTTACCCATACATGGATCACTTTGGTCCAAATACCATACCTGTATTTCTGCCTCTTTGATTTTAGATTCTAAGATCAGCTTGGAGGTGTGTTGGTCTTTACTTAGGCTCTGAAGTCTTTCATACGTAATTTTATGCTCTGCAGACAGTCTGGCTAACCCAGCATCACACCTGTTTGAATAAATAAATACCAAAGCAACAGCTGAATAGAATGTAAGATCTAGGCTTTTTAAATTAGCCATTTTAGACTGGGCTTTTCTGTGAAATTGCTGGCTGTTGAGCGAAACAATGTCTTATGAGACCGTAAAAATGGTGATATATCATAGTATTCAGGGAACTGCTCCCAAATGGGACTAGAAGTCAAAGTCTGACACATTCCTTTTTTCTTGGCACTGACATAATATGTGTAGACAGTGTTGTTATCAGTCAGAGAAATTGCATTACAAATGCAAAGATGCAGAATTTCAATGCCTGTTTTTGTCATACTCCAAAAGACATCTGTTAAGGTGTGTATGATTTCACCTACATGATTAGAAGCCCAAATAGCCGAGGACCACTTTTTCCTTATTGCAGTTGTGGTCCTCTGAGTTTTACATTCTTATTTTTATTTGCGAAATAGTAGTATACAATTAATACGTGTGGTAAACAATGTGGGGCAAATTTTACAGTTATTAGTCTTTATTTAGGTAAAACTGTCATTGAAAGCAATGGCAGTTTTGTCTCACAAAAGCCTATGAAATGCAGTTCTGGAACATAATTATTGTTTCCTTTCTTCACATTGGAACATTTCTTGATGCTGTAACATTTTCAGGATAAATGTGCTATAGAATATGTGCATTTTCTACCACATTTCAAAAATACTTTGGTCAGGTGGATTTCATCCACAGTGATACAGTAAGGACATTAACTGAACTGTAAAAATGTAAGTACTGTAATTTCAGGAGTAAGACCTCTGTGAAGTATGAGTCGTATATTTTTTTGCCAAGGGAGATATGTAATCGGCAGAGTTACCAGCTTTGATCTATGAAACTGATGGAGGACAGACAGCAGTTACAATTTGAGGGAGAAAAAAGCAGGAAAATGGAACAAGCTAAGGCATGTTAAGTCATTACCTAAACCAATGACACACTTTAACCTCTTTTTAGTCACATTTCAGTTTGAAGGCTTTCTTTTCACCACGCATTTTCATCGCCTGGGTTACAGTAACTACTATTATCATTGAAAGTGAAGGGAAAGTAACAGCTAAAATGACAAACAGAGCATCTGCTTAGTATTACAGTACAATTTCAATATGAAAACAATCAGTAATGCAAAATAACACATCAAAATTAATTTATAGTTTAGCAGCTCAGTGTTGAGAGGACAATTAGTAATATCTGTAGGAAGACCAGCATTGAACTGTACCTGAAGGTCTTACAATCAGGCAGTTTTCTTTAGAAAGATGAGAGAAGCCGAATCTCTCCATGTTGTTACAATGAGGGAGAATCAGAGGAATGAAATCATCTTGCATCTAGTCACCAAAAGCCTCTGGGCTCAAAAAAATTGTTAGTTTTGTTTCTCCGAGCCATGACAGAAAATATAAAAAGCAACAGCTTTGAAACCACTGTAGCAGATGTAAACAGCAGGCATCTATAATTGTTTTTAAGGCAAATTAGTATTTTGGGTTTAATCGCAGTGCATCTCTCTTCTTTGTGGAACTCAGTTACATGATCGAAGAGGTCATATAGTCGCATGGTAACCAAAACGTTGAAATTCTGACTATGTAAATGTAGTGTCAGCCTGGTATGTAATAATCAGATTATTTTGGTTTTTCTACAAGGGTACTGTAGTTGGCACCATTTTAAATAAAGTTTAAATTCCGTTGTCTGTAGTTATGGAATGTTTATCCTGCCTTTTTTTTTTAAAAAAAAACAATAGTCCATATGTTGAAGTGATCAGAGAGAAGTATTTTTGCTATATATATTATACGCACAAACACCTGATTAGTTTTGACCTAGAAGAAAACATTAGTGTGCTGCAGACAAAGAATGAGATTCTGATATTAGTTATGTGAGTATATATTTTGAGTTAAAAATTTACAACAATTAAATAACTTTAGTCCATGCTTCCAGTAACTTTCAAATGGTGGGGGAGGCAATAATAAGATGTATGTAATGTATGAAAAAACATGGGCTTTCAAAAGATTTTGATTCAAGTTTCTACTGCATGATTGGTTGGAAGAAAATCAGCAATCAAAATAAAAGGGCATATTATAGTTTGGAATTTTTCTCTGTTTAAAAGAAAAAAAAAAAGGGGAGGTGGGAAAAAGGACATATTACACATCCCCACGTATTTTCCCATACCTCTGAGAGTTCTGCTTTGATACTTTATAGATTTTATTCTTGATAGATTCATGTTAAAATAACAATAGAATTCTTCTTAAAAATATAACTAAATTTTTCTGAACACTGGATTTAAGTACCTGGGTAATTTAATCAGGCTGTCTATATAAATGAAGCCAGTGGACTATGGATATAAAGACAGAAGTCGAAAACAACTGTCGATGTTTGGTCATCTTAAAAGCACAAGGAAAGAAAGGAGAAATAGATTAAGATTTCTAGGAATAATACTAGTTTAAAAATATCAGAACTGTATATAAAAATACTCTGTACAAAGAAATGCAGAATAAATAATTCTCTTGTCTTCATGTCTGAAATGCTAAAGCTGGCCATACAAACAACAGTGCAGTTTTTCATGTGCGCTTGCATATATGCGTTGTTGAAATTTGTGGCAAAAATGCAGTAAAATGTGTTTGTTTAACTACTGTTTAATTTTTGGAGGGCATTTTCTGAAAGTTCCAGTTGCCAAGCTTTGTACTTATGTGAAATTAATAAATGAAGAATAAATTAAGAGATTTTGTAGTGCCAAGCATTATTCTTAGTTTCAGAATACAGTATAATTCTAGAAACCAGTAATGTTTAATACAAACAGTGAAATTATCAAACAACTGCCTTCCAAGTCATAGTAGGCAAAAGCAGTAGTTACTTTTCTGGCACACTGAAGAGTATTTTTGTTGTCTTTGATTTCTTAAGAAATCAAAACACAATGGTTACTCTATTTGGTGTCACCAGGGCCTAGATAGAGCAGAGAACTATGCCAATACTCTGCAACAGGATGCTATATAAATATGCTATAACGGTACATGCAGCTTTTTAATGTTCCTGTTTTATTACAACAGGAGATGTTTCAACTAAAATACCAGTGTTTCAGTGAAAAACAAGTAGCTGAAAAAAAAAGTAGTGAAAAGCAAGTGGAAAGGCTCAGGGGATCCACTTGGCAAGAACCAGCGGAGCTGGTAGATGCTGAAGAGCCTGGACCAGGGTGCCCAGATCAGTCCTTGATGTGTGCGTCTCGTACACAGCAAGTAGCCAGAGTGAGCAGATTTATTGTACTTCTGAAGTTCATAAATGCAGTGCATCCCAGATGCATCAGGCTCATTTTCTGTGCAGTGTAGGAAAATCTGCCTACATGTAATGAGTCCAGGGTGTCTGAAATTAATCAGATCTATAATGTATATTAAAAAATCATCTATATATGCAAAGTAGGCCCAATTCGAACATGCATAGTTGCCATTTTTCTGGATGTTTCAGCTATCAGGAAGCTTCTAGAGATGGCTACTGCTATGGTTCTGACCAGGCTGCTGTATTCAAACTTCCCAGTTTGATCAGACAAGTGATCATAGTCCACAAGTTATTCTGTAAATAAATAAGGCACTACTCACGAGTTTTCTGATCTAATGTCACTAGAAATAGAATTGGTAGATCTGTGTTATATGAGATTGCCAGCATCAGGGACAGGAGGCTGGAGTAATGGATCTGTCAGCATCTATCTAATTTTCTGCTGAATGTGTCACTGAATTTCGTAGAGGTAATATTTTTCTTAATAATAATACTGATTCTTAGGAAAATGTACAGCATCATTCGTGGTGAACACTATAATGATGCTTTACAAATTGATCAAGAAGTTATGCTTAATGAGAAATGGCCCAGAGACATGAGCTGTAATGTGTGTTCTTCTCCTCTAGGGATAAGAGTTGATTCTGTGATGCAGGTGAGCTCAACTGTGAGGTCTGTCTGAATCTCACTCCTCCAGAACTGGGGGTAATGTGGCTTTGGAGCTGTGCTTCAGAACGGCACGTGTGTGTAGGGATCTCTGTTCTCACCGTTAAAAGCAGCAACCCTCAAGAAATTAGGAGACAGTTGTTTGATAATATATTGACATGTTACAGAACAGTTGGTGATAGGAAATAAATACCACTCTCTCCAATATTGAAGTTGAATAGGATGTTTAGTGTGCATGTAATCAGTGGAACTGAAATTTGGGCAGAACACTGAGACTGACACTAAAATTATTACAGGACCAAAAGGCTCAGACTTAGGTGACTTACTATCATGCGGCATATATGAACTGATTCACACACTGATTCACACTGATTGTCCATCTGCACACTTCTAGCCTAGAGCAAACGTGAGGTACTTGGAGTTAAATTAGCCTACTGCCACTATAGCCTGAGCCATACATAGTACCTTGACTATGGCAGAGGACTGATGCACAGTAAGTTGGAAACCCACAGTAACCTCATGATGTTTCTAAGGTTTCATTCTTCCAACTCATCGGAAAGCTAGCAGGACTAGATGTAAAAGTGAAACTGTATTAGGTGAGTTCAGTTTATTTTATGTAAGGAACATTGGCTAGAGTAATCGGAAAGTGTTTATCCCAGGGAAGGTTTCTGGTAAGTATCTGTATAGTGCCAACAGCATAACAAACTGCCATCTTGACCATGATCTCCAGATATTACTATAATACTTATTCACAGAAACACTAATTTTCAAAGTAGAATATGTCTGTAAATAAAGGCAGATAGCTTTCTCCCATGGAACACTGCTTTAACTTAATTTCTGATAAAGGGAAGCTTATTTTCTTCCTTATTCATGGAAAATTTGTATAGAGAGAGCATAATGCTGAATAGAAGGTAACAGTTAAAAGACCATAAACCGATTCTCATATAGTAATAAATAAAAATATCCAACATTCGTCGCACAGATTGGTATAATCTCGTACAATTATCAGATAAATTACAACCCAGGCACAGTACAAGGGTGTTGCCTTAAGTAAATGAAGGAAAAAATCCTGGCACAGACTGCTAGTCCACCACTGATTCCCGAACCAAGTACTCGGGACAGGCAAGGGCCCCGTTGTGAAGCTCATGCTGGCACGTGTTTATTCACTGGAGTTCACTGAAAGCAGGGGCACTATGTTGTGCTTCACAAGGCATCAGTGACTGTGTTGCTCCGAATATGGACCTCTCTCAGGTTGTAGTATTATCTCGAAGTGGACTTTTTACATAAAGAAGCAGGAAGATCTAAGCATGTAAATTTGTCAGGGATTTCTCAGTGAGACAGATGTATATATCTCTCCCTAGACAGATATTCCAGTCAACTTTCTGATTTGAGAAAATAAACTGGTCTTGTTCATTCCTGTTTACTAACGGATAGTGCATAACTTAAAAAAAAGGAACTAAAACCTCTCTAAAGTATTCTTTACAAAATGGGCTATGAAAGTTACGGTGGAAACATCACAAACAATCACATAATTTATGAGAAAACTTTAGTACAAGGAAAATCTCTCCCTGATTATTTTGTAGGTTGCTGAAGGTTATCACCAAATCAGTTGAAGTACAAAAAAAAAAAAAAAAAACATTATCTGTACAATATAGACAATAGGTCAAAATCAGGATCCACTGAAGTTAGGAGCTGAGCTACTTTATGCCACATTAGGTCCTTTTTCTATAGCTGTATGTATCCTGTCTTTTTTTGTTCAACTTTACAGACACGTAAGCAAATGTTGTTGTACTGGGGTTTATAAATGTGTCGTTTATGGCACAACCTGAAGTCTCTGTAGTTGCACAATTGTAACCTGGACTTTCAAGTAGCCTGTAAAACCTCTCTGTTCCTTACGTGTCAGGTAGCCTGTGTAGTTTTTAATATGGCTAACCAATAACTGAATGCACAGATTTTTACTTCTAAAATACATGCAAAATGTGCAACTATTCTGTTCTTTACAAGTGCAGATTGTTCCATGCTGCCTTTATAATTGTGCTAATTAATTTTTTTGAAAGATAGACTAGTCTAACCATAGTACTTTTTAAAGCTGAACCAAATCCAAATTCCTAAGGAATTTGAGGTAATTTATTAAAAACTAATTTCAGGAATTAAGGGTGATACTGTTAAGTTTAATATGTAATACTGAAATGCAAAGGATTATTATTCATTTTCCTGAAAACATCAGGCAAAATTATCCTAGGAATTTTGCCAAAGTTGAATTCAGCTCATAGTCATTAACATTCATACTTCAAGATTAAAACAACATTAGCTAGTCCCAAAAACATACTTCCGTGTTACCTTGCAACTCTTCCCCGAAGATCTCCTAGACCAGAAAGCTGACGCATTTCCAGACTCTTCAGGGTAGAATTTGTTCCATAGCTGAGATTGTCTCTGACACGTATCTGTTCCTGCAGCATCTACAAAGCATTCATACGCAGATATAAACTCAGTATGGCATTTTTAATGTACACTTAAAATGTCACTCTTTTTCAGTAACGTCAGATACCATTTTATTACTACTTCATTAAAAGCTTTGTCTTGTGTCATACTAAAGCAGATACCTTTCACATAATTTATTATTTCTTAGTCTTAGTGTGCAGTCTGCACATAAATACCATACTGTGTGTAAAGTGTAACTTGACAATGGAATGGAGACTGAAATTTTTATCCTTTTGTTTTTCCCACCACACCCCTGTTGCTCATTGCAGCAGAGGTCAGACGTGAAGTCACGTATCTGCATATGATTAGGTCATAAAAATGAGCAGTTGGGTTTGGCTACTTGGTGTCGTCAGTAAGTCTGAAGTGAAAGAAAGTTTATTACAGAGCGAAGGCATTTCCTAGTGTTTATACAGCACAGCCTTTGGACTGAAGTTGAGCTGGGTATTAGTGCTGCATTAATTCATTTTTTTTCAAGGTTTTCCAGTGCAGCTTTTGAAAGCAAGCTTATTAGTACCACAAAGGTTTCTGTGTTTATATGCTAATATCCTGTGCTGTTTTCATAGCCACTGAAAGAATTACATAATTTGCAAACATTTTTTTCAAGTTATAAAAACAATTTATAAGCTTGCAGGATCTTCAGACCTTGTCTGACCTTTACTTATCCTGTGGTAAACTTTCTTATTAAATTAGAAGGAATTAGTGGCTGAGATGGCATTAGTCCTGTGAAAAATTCTTGACATACCTCAATGTCCCGATTAAGCTGCCTCACTATTGCTGTTATGTTTCGGATATGTTCTTCCAAGAGTTGCCTAGCCAACCGGTCGCCCCCCCCTTTGTTCTGCATTCTGTGCAGAGTGGAAACAATGTCCTCCTTAATGCGAAAAGCGTGTTCCACAAGAGCCGCCGTTGTTTTCTCATGGCTTAGGATTCTGTCTTCCAGCTGATCCACCAGGCTTGCAGATGCCAACGGGACCGCTGTTAACGCCTGGCTATGCAGCGGTATGTTTCGAACCCGTCTAGTGAAGAAGAATATCTAGATATTGTTAAGTTTCCACACAAAACTCTGCAATGTCTTCCCACTGGAGACAGTGCGATACTATTTACGTAGCAATACTGGGGAGAAGGACCAAAATACTTGCAGAGGGAGGGGCCCACTACCACAAATAAGTGGATGCTGTGTTTGCTACTGTGTGTATCTTGTATGAAGGCAGGCCAGGCTCTTTTTCCTACTCTTTAAGGAAGCTTACAAAAGCATAGGATCTTGAGAAAAAGACATTAGCATTATAAAAGTAGTTACAATTCGGAACTAGAATTTGATTAAGAATCCAAATCCAAAACTCTTTTATTGAGTTTCCAAAGTAATGCCATCTGTCTCTACAGTTTTCAGGCTTAATCAAAGCAGCAACTGTAGAAGGTAGATATTGCAAATTAAATGGAAACAGACCGAGATTAAAAAGGAGTAGCTTGTGTCCGTTCCTTTTTTAAGTCTCTACAGCTATCCTGTAATACCATACAGAAGCTTGTCCCCCCATGAACAGGACAGGAGCATATGTAGATGTAGAAACTGAGGAGAGACCAAAATTACGACAAGCTTCTCATTAAGTCTTAGAGGTCAAATTTTCTCCCCTAAAATAGCTTGCATTTGGGTACCTTGAATAATTGCCTGGATTTTTCAAGAGAGCTCTGCACTGCATAGCTTCCACGGAAAGCAATGGAGCTAATGGGTGCTCAAAGGAAAAAAATTAGGCTGCTAATGCATGCAATCTTTTCCTGCCACTATATTCTGTAAAGAACAAAGAAAATTTTCAGAAGCGTAAGTGGAAGATGCAAGTTCAACCCCACTTTGAAAGAGGAGATCTTTTTCTTGGAACTGTTATTTACTGTGTATTCTCTGTGTTGTTTCCTGTTAATGAGCCAAATTAACAGTTTACTTTCATCATGATATTGAGAGAGATGTATGAGAACATCAACAAAGGTCACTTCTGGCTCTGAGCTTTCACCCTTATTCCATGCTATTAGAAGACTGGCTAAAGTATAGTATGATTGGACATCTACACGGTTAGTTTAAGCTATTTATTTTCTTTGGGAAAGGGTTAAGTAAAAGCTGAGTAAGGAATTGTGATTTGGGTCATGATTTGAATGAGTAAACTCATTTCCCTTTGCTTTGCATACTAATGCCAAAGTCCCAAGTCACAGCATTACGATATATAGGGAATTGAGAGACACATAATACTCTGCAATATGAAAATTTTATTTTTTACATTCCAAACTGTACCTTTCAGAAGGGGCAAGAGTTGGGAAGATTGGGCTTCGCTGGGCCATTTTCTGGTCAATAATTTATGTCTGTTGAAAAAGTACACATTGAATTATTTAATAGTTTATATCTGGCACTGAAATGACTTAATGCTTCTACTGTAAGTGGACCTTTAAGTAACGTTTAAGATTATGCTGACAGCTCTGATCTTGGAGTTCAAATACTGGTTATGGAATAAATGCAAATAAAAATCGATACAAAAGAATGAAAACTAAAAACTGCTAAAAAGCTTTCTATAGTGAAGACGGTGCTTTTGAAAAAGGCAAGGTTGACAGCCTTGAAACTGAAATCTGCTGTTGACCCACAGAACTGGTTTGTCAGGACAGAGGTGAACAAACTTTTTGTCCCCAGTCTGTCTACTGGTCTCAGATATCATTAATGAATTAAAAAAGTAAGATCTACAGCATTATCATAAAGCTTAAGACAGTATTGGCTAGAGAATGAAATAATAATATTGCATGACGGCAGATTTTTAGGGGTAAGGTGTTTCTCCGGTAAAAGCATTGGCAGTCAGGAAACCTAAATAAAATGTATTAGACATCAGCATAGTTTAGCAAAACTGAATCTTTTATTAATTTGTCTTCAAATCTAAATGACCACGCTTTATGTTGTAAGTAAATTCTTTTGTGCTAAGAATATAGATTCTGTTTTTCATTTTTAGACATAGCCAGCCAGACTGTGACAGACATTGCAGCAGGGTAGGTCTGTTAAATAACTTCAGAAAGACGTTTTAGGTCTCTTACTGTAGGTGAGACCAGTACCTGCCTCAGTAGTTTTGTCAACGGACTGAAATTAAATTAATGAAAAAGATGGTAGCCTCAATCAAATCCAACTATTCCATTCTATACAAAACTGATAAACATAAAACTATGAAGAGAATGAACATGGCCTGAGCCTGAATTCCTTGGGAACATAAAATTGTTACTGAAAACTAAAGGCTGTTGTATGAAAAGAATTTTGCAATTGCTGATGAAATGCGGTGCAATATGCTGTACAAACAGAAACAGACAAATATTGTTATTGATACAAAATAGTCAAGTATCGATTGTAAAGAAGTGATAGCAATATCCTTTGAGATCTCAAAATGCAAAGCATGTTTGTACTTCAGAAACATCTGAAAGCACTGCCTAAAAGCAGAGAGCAAACATTCTCACAGTATGTGTGTTCTATTTATAGCACGGTGCTTCAGAAACTACAAATTGGAAAAAAAATAGTTTAAGAGAAGCTGGGTTGCTGAGCAGCAGTGACACTAGACTGGAATTTAGAAGGCCTGATTTTAATTCTTTGCTCAATCCCTGATCCTGATGACTTTGGACAAGTTATTTCCATGTCTAATGACTCAGTTGTCCTATATGGAAGACAGATCATGATACCTACCTCCTTGTTTAAGTTCTTACATGCCTATAAGTAAAAAGCACAGTGTAAGAGTCGGGTATCATTATGATGACTTCTGCATTCAAAATCCTGCAGAGACACTGAATGTCCAGTCCTGTAAGCTGTTTCTCACACTTGTAGTTTCCCAGTTGTTTTTTTTAAACAATGCCACTACTCTGTGGGGCATCTCTCCTAGCTGTACCGTGAGGTTTTACAGTAACTGGGCACCCAGTTCTCAGTAGATCTGAGCTCATTTACTCTTAGTCCTCTGGGCCGTAACACAATTCAACTATAAACATAGGAATATCCCACTGATTTGAAAAGAGCTATGTGTATCGCAGCAGCAAAGCACTGGATGTTACCTTAGGGAAACGAACAACAAATATTGAAGTCTGTACATCTAGCAGTATCTTAGTGAAATACACCTTATAAAAAACAGACAAACAGAAAAATCCTCAAGTGTTTTAATCTTATGGCCTTCAGTATCCATTTATTATCTATTGAAAAAATGTTTGCAGCAGAGTAAGCACAGGATTGCTTTAAGTTTTTACTTCTGCCAGATACCATTAGGCATGCAGCTAAATGCAAATGTCTGGAGGAATTGTGCAGATGAAACAGAAGTTACATAGATGGACTTCTCATTCATTTATTATTGCTAACTTAAGCACATCACTTGGTACACAGCAAAATATCTCCTCACCAACTATCAGATTTCTTGATCTGATCCAACATACAGAAAGGATGTGGTAAGATCTTGTTCAGCAGTTGTACAAAACTTTTCTGCAGTTTGGAGGTATTTGCAGTAAACAATAACAGGTAGGTGTCAGAACTAATGACAAATTCCTTCTCTGTGAGGGTGTGTAATACCGATTTAGATGAATAAAATATAAATAAAAGAAAAAATAAGATGGTCTGATGCTTAGATTCAGGGGAGTGTAATTTCACATGGCTCCAATTTTAATTGGGATCACCTTAAGATACCAGTTGAAATATTGGCTTCAGGTGCCTTTTTTTAATGATATTGTCTCCTGCTTGATACTGCTATAGCAATTTAAATCCTGATATATTAACCCAGTAAATTTCAGTTGATTGATTTAATTTACTGAATAGTCCAAATATACTTGTCACATTGATGTGATAAAGATTTTTTTACCAGTTGTAAATGGTATGCCTGATTGCCGAATATAACAGTTCACTTGATATGTAAGGCAGCTTTTCCATACAAAGATGGGGTACTACTTTTTTTATCATTTCTTTAAGTCACTGACATCAGACATGTAAAAGCGTGGAAGAAAATCATACATGGGACATGCTGAAGAAACACTTTTAGCAATGCAAAGTTCACTTTGGCTATTTGTACTGTGGCATCCCTTCCCCACTTCAGCAGACTGCCTTGCATGTTTATTTTCTGCAGGTTCTCCATTTGTCCTGTTTTGAAGGATAATCACAACTGTAGTGTTCAGTTCTCCGTCTTCCATTATAACCTGTGTCTAATACTTGCTGTTATGTCTGTGCACTTTGGAGCATTTTTCACATTCATTCTCGCAATAGGCCTGTGGGGTAGGAAAGCGTTACCATCCCTGAAAGTACTGTTTTCCTTATGTTGCTGGGAGGGAAGTGAAGCACGGGGAAGGCTATGTGACTTGCCACAAGTCACACGGGAATCAAAGCAGACTGAAATACCTGCCTAGGCAAACACTTTAATCACTCTTTTCTTCTTAAAATAGAAACCATTTTGGTTGCTATACAGGGAGCATATGACAGCACCGCCCCAGGAGCCGCAAGATCCTGGTGTTACTCTGAAGCACTTTGGGGCAACGTTTTGGAGTAAGTGTGAAAGTCCCTGTGTTGCAACTCAGCAAAAAGACAGGTCCAAACCCGACTGTTATCAGTGAGTCGTACGAAACAAACCCTTGCAAAACCCCCTCTGCTCTGCTGTGAGTGTGCGAACGTGGGTGCGGTGAGTGCCGGGAGGAGGCACCCCCCGGCAGGGAGGTAGCCATGCCGGCGTGGCTCTGCGCCCAGGCTAAGGTCCTCTTGAGAAAGGTCCGAGCAGCTCGGGTCCTTGGTTGTGCCAATGCAGCTATGCAGCATTTGGGATCCGAGCTGGAATCCGTGCCTGTGCCGTGCCGTGTGGGTGCACCGGCTCGGCCTGCGCTCCGCCTTGCCCGCAGCTCTGCCGCGCAGGCAGGCCCAGGACCCCGGAGGGACCGCCGCACTCCTTGGTGTAAGGGTGGTCAGCAAACGCGGCGGCGGTTGTGGAAACACGGGGTGTACAACAGCTGACAGGACATCACAGCGCAGACACCACTCTACGGCCAT